GCAAGAGCTCTATCACCAAGCTATATCTCCAGGCCTTTTAAAGAATTTTTTTAAAAAAGAATTTTGAGTTAGGTCTTGTCAAGTTGCTCTTGGCCAGACTCAAACTTGCAAAGTTGCCTGAGTAGCTGGGATGATAGACATGCATCGCTGTGCTTGACTCGAATTTTTTTTTCTTAATTTAGGAAACAATACAGATTTTCACTTATTCACCCCTGTTTGTAAAAAGTAAAGTTGGTTAGAACCCGAGTTTAGGTCATTTTTATGTTCACATTTGTATAAATCACAATTGACATGAACTTCAGGCAGAAAGTGATCTTATGTGGCTGATTCATTTTGGGGGGCTTAGCTCACAAAATATAACTTTCCTTGTGTTTTAGTATTTTAAAAAGAAAATTATGCAAATCACTCACAGAAGGGATACATTTACTACAACCACTAAGTTTGTTTTTGTTTTTTTAGCAAGCATCGAAGCAAAAGAAACCATGTCTACAAAGACATGGGATTTCTTCTTACTGACTCATAAAGCCCGTTAGATCATCATTCACTACTTAATGATGCTCTAGGGTTGGGAGAGCGACCTTAGGTGTCATATCTGTGCTATGAAGAAATCCCTAGCCGGTACTGTTTTGCTTTGGGGAGACTCATCTAATGACAGGTCACACTTGCTTGTTGTTACAACACCACTATCAAAACCTGTTGGCTTAGGAGTGAATTTGCATCAGTTTAGTCCTTTAAACTCTACAACTGAGGTTCCAGACACCTAAAAGTTCTAGGGGAGAAACTCTGAGATAAGCAATAAGCTCTCCAGTGAAGGAAGAGATGCTGATAAATTCTTCAAAGAGCAGACAGACAGCCGACTTGTGGCTTTACAATTTCCAAGCATATTTACAGGCGAGGCAGAAGAAAGAGCATTTGAGCTTGGTTTTAAAATACAGAAATACCACCATTCCTTAAAAGAACAAATCACAATGCTGTTGGCACATACTGGAGCCCACAAATATCATAAGAAATGTGGGATTTTTTTCCCTGCAAATGTGTTTCCTGATTAAAAATAAAAAGCATATTTTTGACTCATACAGAAATTCAAGCCAAAAGAAAAATAATATTTGTAAGGCAGAGCTGATCAGATGAAATCCTGAGTCTGTGTACAGATTAACTTATGAAAGTCATCTCATACAACAGGTGGCATGTCCTGGGTACAGTTATGGCAATAGTGACTTTCTCACAGGGAGATTCTTTATGTACAATCAGAGGCTTAGATGTCATACACACACCCTAGACTTTGGGAATGAAATATTTATGTGAAAAGAAGTATGTGATTTGGTTATAGTAAAATCCCCATACTCGTTACAAAGTGTGGCACAGTAGGTGGTCAGTACATGATGGATGAATGATTTAATAAAGATGAAATAGTTAAGAACAACTACCTTAAATTTGCTGAAGAATATTTTACTTGTGTGTAACTGCATAGGTCACCTTAAGAGGGTATAGGCTGCTGCTAAGAGAAAAATATAACTCCCAAATGAACAGCATTTGTCAGTAATTATGTCAGTATTACTGATACTGTTTGGTTTCATGGAAGAAAGTAATATGCTCAAAAAATAAGGGCAAGGAAACGTGGAGCATTTCCTGAGCCACTCATGGGTGAGAGAAGGGAGCAGGATGAAGGCAACGCGTAAGACCAAGGCTGTGTGCCTTCCAATACCCAGGCCTCTAGCTCAAGGTACAACACCCAGACATTGGAGCACTTGAGTACTCACTCTGGCCTGGAAGACCAACAACTCCTGAAAGAGCTGGCCTGCGAAAACCCAGGCGTGGGCCTGCCTGGAGCCCACAGGGACGTATCCCACCACAGGACACTGCCCGCAGCGGACTCTCAGAGCATGTCTGCTGATGAGAGAATGAGCCCTTCTGAGCTATTTGGAAGAGCTCACAGGTCTACTAATGGTGTAATAATTAAAAATACTTTTGATTTTTAAATGAACACCAGTTTGTTGAAAAATGTAACACTTCTTGAAGGAAACCGCTGGGTGTGTGAGTCTTTCACATATAAAATTGTTTACTTACGAGTATGTGCATCTGTGTGCACTTCTACACACTCACACACATACACACAAATGTTCTTGCCCATAACTGACAACAACATGGTCAAATTACGCATGCTTTTATGAGACTTGTTTAAAAATCTTTTTAATTAAAAGTATTTTGCTACAACAATCATCTCTCTTTTTTTCCACCTTTAAAGATTTCAGACAAAACACTTCTTTAAAAAAAAAAATCTCTTTGAACACACGTTTTTCGAATTTCATTTTGTAGACTTGTTTACAAGACTCCTCACTACACGAATCCCCACCGCTGGCTGTGGTGTGCACATGCGGCTGGTTCCCTAGAGCATCACGTGCAGAAGCTCGGCCCCAGTGTGGCGGTGGCACGGGAGGCTGCACCTCAGGAGTGGATCAATGCCGTCACATGTGAAGAGGTCAGGTCTGGCAGGAGGGGATGACTTCTAATAAAACAGGAACAAGCCCAGCCCTTCCCAATCTCCTGCGTCCTGTCTCACACGGACTCTCTCCCACATGCCTTCCCGGCTCTGGGAAGCCATATGTCACAGGGCCTCATCACAGTCAAGCAGATGCCAGAGCCATGCTTTTGAATCTCTAGAACTGTGGGCTGAATAAAACCCCTTCTCGTTATAAGGTACTTAGCCTTGGGTATTTTGTTACAGAAACACAAAACAGACTAAGACACCTCCCTACCTGACTACTTCATCATTTTCAAGTCCTGCTTTCTAAGCTAACCATAGTGAAGAAGCCAGATCTACATTCTCTCAAATTTTTCACTGCACACACTGAAATAAATGTACATAGATATCCACATATATATTTCAAAAGTTTCTTGTTCAGACTGTTATAGAATATTTAATTTTGCATTTATGGCTATTATTTCAAAACTTCTTCACATTATAGAGTGATCCAATCAGCAGCTGATTGTATAGTACAGCAGCTAAAACAAGGACACGGGCCAGACTGCTAGAATTCAAGTCCCAGCTCTGCTATGAGACCCTGGCTCAGCTTCCACTCTTGTGTTTAATATTTAAACCAGTAGACTTTGAGGAAAGCAAATTACTTTCCATAACGTGGGTGGGCCTCATCTAATCAGCAGAAGGCCTGACCAGGACAGGGAGGAGAGGCACTCTCTCCAACACTACAGCACGGAGACCTTGCCTCAGTCTCCAGTCTGTATCTGCAGAGTGCTCACTCAGTGCTGCAATGCCAATGCTGACCTGAATTTCCACACTGCCAGTCTGCCCTACAAGTCTGGGCTTGCCAGCCTATGGGATCACAGGAGCCAATTCGTAAAAATCAGTCAGCACTCCCCTCTTTCTGTCATCTGAAGGAAAGGAACAGATGTTGCTGCTGGAAAACAGGGTGCTGCTGTAACAAACGCCTAGAGAACGTGGAAATAGCTTTGGAACTGGGCAACAGGCAGAAGCTGTAAGAATTCTGAGGCACATGATAAAGAGCTCGCATTGCCCGGGGTGGCTAAAGATAGAAATGACAAGAGTCAGGTATGAGTGCACAAAGGAAAGAAGGGAGCTGCGGAAAACATTTCTATTGTCACAGAGGATACACACATCTCCACGAACAGAATGTGGCTAGAAAAATGAATGTTAAAGGTGCTTCTGGTGAGGTCTCGGGTGGAAACAAGGAACATGTACTGGATGGCGAAAGGAGGTCACTGTGTTCTGCTGGATGGGAAAGCAGAACTGTAGGGGACAGAAAATACAGACACCGAGCTGAGGAGGTTCCTAAGCCACGTGTTGAAGGCAGGGCCTGGTTTGTTCTTGCTACTTCAAGTGCAGGAAGAGAGAGACACACTGAGGGAATCATTAAGCAAAAGAGATCCAGAACTGTAACTTTTATGCTGTAAAAAATGAGAAAGTATACTTGGTAGAGAATACCAAGGGTGAGGCTGAGCTGCCATGTGTAGAGATTAGGCAAGAGACTAGTGGATCCAGGCCGCCATGTTAGCAAAGACACTCGTAATGGGACTGGACTCAACAGAGACAGAGCAAGATGGGGAAAGGCCTTCAGACTTCTGGCATTCCACAGGCAGGAATGGACCCACGGAGCTACGCAGCCTCAAACATAAAGTACCCTAGAGAAAAGGGGAGAAGGAAGCTGAGGCTGGGTCTACCTCCTTAATAAAGAGCAGTGCAATGTCCTTGGCTCTCCTTGGACTGCAGTTTCTCTGGGTCAAGCCACCCAGTCTATAGCATTTTGCTGTGGTGGCCTAGCTGACTTACACAGAGACCTTATTTGGAAACGGTCCTTGTACATGCAATAGTCACGATGAAGTCACCAGGGTGGGACCTAATCCAGGATGACTGGTATCCTTAGAAAAACAGGACACTTGGACAGCAAGACATGCATAGAGAAAAGATGATGTGAAGAGACACAGGGAGGGAACAAGCCACCTACAAGCCACAGAAAGGTGTGGAACAGATCCTTCCCTCAGACGAAACCAGCCCCACCGATGCCTTGATTTCAGAACTCCAGCATCCAGAACTATAAGAAAATAAATCGCAGTGCCCCCTAGTTTGTGGCCCTTTGTTGTGGTAACCCTAGCAAACTACTACAACGCTTCTGAAAAACTGGGTAGTCTGATTTCCTGTTGGGAAATACAGAACTTAGGACATCCATATATACATGTGGGAAAAGCCAGACACATGTTATTGTGCTAATAAATAACACTTTAAGTTGAAGTTGCTCATTTTAATAAACAATAATTTGTGAATGAAAATCCGCTATGCCTATAGGACCAAAAATCATGAGTTTACATGACCTTCTTCCCTGGCACATATATTCGAGATGTGGGTATTTGTTGTTTATGTAAAATACTGTCATTTCTTTTTATATCACCCTGTATTAAATTTAGGATAAAACTAACACTTCCATGGAACTTGGTATTTTAGAAGAATATTCAATATGTTCCCTTTTAAAATAATGACAGATGTCCACATGAACTGAGATACGAGCTGATACAATGTATTATTTTATGACAAGCAATGCGAATGGGACTGAATCAATGGGAAAACTTCAAAGCAATATTAGCGAGACTTTTTAGACTTTATGATATTAAAACTACTGGTTTTATTTTCAGTAATAAGCTACTAGAGATTCAAGTGTTTGGGTTTCAGTTACAAAATAAAGTACTTTTAAAGAATATGGTAGGAAACTGAAGGCAAGGCTTTTAGTTCGGTCTCCATGACAACATGGGAAGGCGCGCAGTCTGGTGGACGAGATGAAAGCCACCAACTCAATTTCAGACCCTAGCATTAACTCACCACAGAAAGCCACATTTATATCTTGGCACTTCATCTCTGCCTTTAACACAGCACTCTGGCTTCACTCCACAAAAGGGCACACTTGATACCTACTCACTTCACTTGCATTTATGCTCTGAAACAATATAAGCTTATTCACACTGAACTGGTAGCAGGAGAATGAGCAGCCGTAAATGGAAAATGGAAACGCTTATTAAGTGGCCCACATTTCTTGTAAAGTAGACCCCAAATGATTTCATTTGAAGGATCTACTTTACTTTCATAAATTAATTACTATGATAAAAAGAAAGATTATTTTCAAAAACAGGCATTTAGAATTTGATGGGCTACTTACGGAGCATTCTATCTTCTTTTCCATGCTCGCAGTGAGTAATGTCTTCAATAGGAAATTGTACAATCACAAGGTATAAGGACACTGACTGCAGTTTAGTGAACTTGTCCAGACTTTCCTACCTTGTGAATATGAAGATCATTTCTGACAAACACCACAACAAAAATAAGAAAGAGAATCTCGAAACTATAAAGATTGCTAACACCTGCAATGATGCCAGTATTGGTTTGCGTTTATCAGCACTACTTCCCATTTGCTTGGTATTTATTACAGCTCCCTGGGCTCCGCACACGGGGGTCCTCACTGAAGCCTCCTAATGACTGCGTGAGGTCGATCTTATCTGTCAATAACACACGAAGCTCACAAGACTTCAGTCACTTGTCCCAGGTCTTGTAGGGCAGGAGTCAAAATTGGGGGCTGTGCAAGCCTTGATCACTACCATACTGCTTGGCACAGGTGTGTCTATTTCTTTTGTTAATTGTACCCACGTCGTAGTACTCTTGGAACCTGACCCAGTCCTTTTTATTCTAACATAAATGCAATTTCATCAGCTTTGGTTATCTGATCTGATAAGATTTGAAGCACTAGAATTTGGTTTTGTTCCTCGGTTCTTGCTTCATCACTCCCTCCTCCAAGGTGGATCTCAGAAACTCTAATCTTCCTGTTTTTCTGTCAAGGAGCTGGCTATAAACTGTCTGAATGACTGTGGCAGTAGGTCCAGAGGGGTCCTGTCCTGTCCCCCACCCCCCAGGGAGGATGACTGCCTTGAATGGGCCCAAGCTACAGCCACCAGGACCCGCAGGGGTTCCTTAGTCTACTGGCAATCACACCTATGTAATGAAGTCTTCATAAAAACCCAAAAGGACAGAGTTTAGAAAACTTCTGAGTAGCTGAACACACAGCAGTTCCTGGAGGGCAGCACCCCAGAAGGAGCATGTGAGCTCCAAACTCCTCTCCCATACCTTGTCCTGTTCCCTTTGTAATGTCCTTTATAATAAACCTATTAAAGTCTTTTTCTGGGTTCTGAGAGCAACTCCAAGAAATTAATCAAATCAAAGAGCAGGTGGTGAGAACTTCACTTTACATTGCTTGGACAGAAGCACAGGTAATATAATCTGGGGCTCGCAGTTGGTATCTAAAGTGTGTGGGGGGGTGCAGCCTAGGGGCCTGTGATGATTGCCTGATATGTCAACTTTACTGGATTAAGAAACATCTAGCAGACTAGTAAAGCAAGTTCGGGGTATATAGGGTGTTTGTGGGTGTGTGGTCTTGTGTATCCTTCTTGTCTGGGGCAGTTCCCCTGCTCTGCCATGAACTGAGCAGCTCTGCTCTGCCATGAAGTTTCTGTCTTGAGCAGCTGCTGTGGACTGAATCCCCTGAAACTGTGAGCTGTATTAAACCCAACTTCCTTTTGAGAGTACTGGGTATTGTGTTTCAGCGATGGGAAAGCTAATACAGGGCCTGAGCCCTCACACTCGGATCTGATGCTATCTCTAGGTAGAAGGTGTCAGAATGTGAGCTAAGGGTGTACACTGCTGCAGTCCTGACTGCTTGCTTGGTGTGTAACCCTTGCTCGTACCTCCCAAGTGACCTGCCTGGCCAATCAATGTACGGTAAGCAAAGAATCCAAGTTGGAGTGTGGGTTTTGTTTGTTTATCCCAGCAAATTACAAAGGTTAAGAGTGGGGCTCTTTAAGCGGGAAACATTGAAAAACACAGAAAGTTGAAATGGGCACTGAAAGCATACCAACTAGGATTATCCAGAGCAAGAAAAAGATAAACATAGTTGTTCGGAGCAGGCAGAGAGGCAGAGAAGTTAACCCCTCGTGCTGAGTATCTGTGATGTGCAGGTGTTTGTCTTCTCCATGGGCTGTGACCAGGGCCCTGCTGTGGGCTGCTCTGTCCCCATGTCCAGGCCCTGAGGGGCTCGGCAGTCTGCTCAACTCTCACAGCAGAGGAGCTGGGCTGGTTGGATGTCAAGGGCCAGCTCTAAACACTGCGCCACAGGGATGAGGAAAGCAAACGAAGGGGGCTGGGGTGTAAGTTATGAGTGAGGCCCTGGGTTGAATCCCCAGCACCAAAGAAAGAAAGAGAAGAGGAGGAGGAGAAGGAGGAGGAGAAGGAGGGAGAGAAGGAGTGAAGAGAAGAAGAAGAGAAGAGAAAAGGAAAAAAAAGGACAGAAAAAAATTCTTAGAAATATTTCTAGAAAAATGATCATAGTAAAAACACTTTTTGAAAAGGGATTTTGGTATTGAAAAGCTCCAGTTTTCTGGAACATTTATTCACCTAAAACATCACATTTGAAGGGTAAGTCTTATACTACTTCTTTTCTAACCTAAAAAAAATTCATACTTAACAAAAATCCTACATTTAGAAAATCCACAAGCTAAACAGTACACGTAGGATTTTTCACCTCCTGCCTTACTGTTGTCTTTTTCTAAACGATAGGGCCAGGGTTAAGGTTTTTACTTTGTGAACATTCTTAGTAAATTCGAGGCACTGGGCCAAGGACTAGAGAGTGGCCCGAGAAAGCCATTTGGAAGGGGTAGAAATTAAAACACGTACACCACACGTGCACAGGTTTCCACCACACACTTTCAGTTAGCCATGCCAGTTAAACGGAAGGGCTGGGCTCATCCCTTTGCGCTGTGCAACTTTTTCCTTGCCTCTCTTATTATCTCCTTACCTAGACTATTGTGAGTAGGGGGCGAGCAGGAAAACATTCCCACAAAGAATGAGCCACTTTAAATGACATGCACAATACACTTGCTCTGTACGTGACCAAAATTAATTAATAAAGAGACTTCCAGGGTTCTTGCGGTGCTGAAGTGCACGTTTGTGTCATTTAGCTCTATCTTGGGAAGCGCGCACTGCCCCTCCAGAGCTGCTGACTAACATGCTTTCAGGCATGGCCCCCCTCTCCCCACACTGCGCCCCTGCCCTGCTATAAACCCTAGTGCCCACTTAGGCGTGATTACCCCTGGTGCAGCCCCGCCATCGGCGTCTCTCTCAAGGGGAAGAGCTTGGGGTAGACGATGGTAAACATAGGCTCACTACACCGATGACAGTGCCCCAGGGGACAGTGCAGCAGCTCCAGGAGACTTCTGGGCAATGAGATGGGAGACAGGAAGTTCAAATCTGGAACACAAGAGAAAAATCATGCGTGTGAGTAAAAAAATCCGATTTTCTGAAACCAAACTGCTTAAAACACTTTTCTTTGTTACCAAACAAGTTCAGTTAAACCACTTGGTGCTGTAAATTCTGTTATCTGATCGGTATTGAATAAAAATCTAATATTATTAGGAAGTGAAAGATTTTTTTTTTTTACATTTTTGATAGTAAAAGAAAATGAAACCCTCTCTTTTAAGAGCAACCAAAAGCTGTTCTGAGGCAGCGGCAAGGAAAGAATAAGATCAAATAGTCTTTAAGAAAAAGGATAAAAAAAGCATCAATTTACTCAGAGAGGGTTTTTCAAGCTTTTATAAGAGTCAGAGCACTAAAGGAGGACGGGGACCGGAGACTGTCGCTGACTTTCATTAAGTTTCCCTAACTCTATTGGGCATCTACTCAACCAAGCATCAATCAAGGCTAAATTATGTTTGCTGAAAGGAATGAAACACAGGCAGCCAAAGAGAATGAAGGATAACGAAACCAAGTTTTTCCCTGCCTCGTTCCCATGAGCTGTCATTAATAAAAATAGGGAGCGCTCCTTCCCTGTCTAATGTGAGTCACACAAAAGAGATGGTGAGAGCAAAACATCCCAGCGACCCAGGCAATCCTGACACAAATTTACCCTGGTCTTCCATGCCAGTAAGAAGCACCCAATAGAGGAAGAAAATGTTCCTAATGAGGTGAAATCCAAAAATTACCAGCTCTGCAAAGGAGATACTAAATATTGTCTTAATCTTTTGTATCTGTCCAGTCTCACCAATCACCACTTAGGAAAACGTAATTTACTCTTAAGTCAATAAAAAGAATTTTCAGTTTAGGTTTTAAAAACATTTAATTTTGTACTAGACATTTCTGGACGGTTAAGATTAGACGTTTTTTTGATGGTCTTCTTTTTTTTACGTAAAAACAAAACATTTGGCAGCTTTAAAAACACCTGAGATGTACTTTTCTTATTAATATTGCCTCCTTTCTGGTGGCAAGGGCTGAAGCCAGGGCCTCACGTACGCTAACACCTAACACTGCCCTACTGGTGCTTCCCAAAGGGACTGCAGATTTGTACCCCGCAGTACCTGGAAGCCTCGACCCGTCAAGGCCCTGCCAAAACAAGTTGGATGCTGTGATAATACCGCCAAAAGCCCCTCGTCCGTCCTTCTTCTCCTGTTTCTCAAATGGAAGGAGACTGCAAGGCAAAAAACCTGCTCCAATGAAGGAGGCATCCAATCCGCTTCTACATATTTCCCTACCACTAGCCTCTTACTCCAAATGCACACTCCAAGCCCCAGTTGCTCTCCTTAAAACATAGTGTCACTTTGCAATGCTGCCCTTCACAGCTGGAGACCATATTTTAGTAAGTGCTTCGCTGTGTTTGCAGTGGGTGCTAAACACCAGTGTAGAGAAAATATTAAAACGGCCGGGGATGGTGGCGCACACCTGTAATCCCAGCACTTGGGAGGCTGAGGCAGGAGGATCGCTGTGAGTTTGAGACCAGCCTGTGCTACACAGTGAGTTCCAGGTCAGTCTCAACCACATAGTGAGTACCCTCAAAAAACAAACTAACAAACAAAAATTAAAATGTTTTTCTTGTAAGAAAACTTCCAGCTGGATGGGGTCATGTGTGCCTCTAGTGCCAGCTACCGGGGAGACTGAGTCGTCAGCAGGAGGACACTGGAGCCCAAAGTGAGACCCTGTCACCAAAAAATGAAAAGGAAAATGTGGACACACTTTACTGCTACTGAACTGTATACGTAAAGATAGCCAAAATGGTGTATTTGTGGTTTGAATATTTTACCGTGATTAAAAAAATATTTTTAAAAGATGAAAGCCAAAACAGGCAGCGTCAGGCACCCTGTTTGTTCACTGAACGAAAGGGGGAAAAGTACCTTGGAGGAAGCGGTGGCGGGTGTGGTAGAGACTCCGCGCGGCCAGCTCCTGCAGGGGTAGCACGCGGTCCCACTCCGTCCCTATGGTCTTCACCTCGGCTGGCAGGTGGATGGTCAGCTGACGCGACGAGAAGGAGAGTGGCCTTACCTCTGACACCTGGACGGGGGCCCCACAGCTGCGGAAGACACACCCCGCAGTGGGATGAGCAACGAGGGCCAGCACACATGGGCTCACACAGTGTAAGAAAATTGACGGCTCTGCTGCATGCTGGGATTCTGTTCCAAAGGCACGATTGTGTCCTGGGCTCCTCAGACACCTGGCTCGGAAATCTACATGCGGCTGGATTTGGTGGCACACGCCTGTGATCCCAGCATTCAGGGGGCCGAGGCAGGAGGACTGTGAGTTTGGCCCAGCCTGAGCTGCATAGTTAGTCTGAGGCCGGCCTGGACTATGTAGAAAGACTCTGACTCCAAAAACCAAAACAAGCAACAGAAAATCACCAGAGAACATGGATAACTCACTGTGAGGCCCAGTTATTTTCAGCAAAGGACAACTCTGAACTTCCCTTCCGAGAAGCCACACAATTTGCTTTGTAAGCTCTATCTTCCCTCCTTTTACTACCCTCTGCAAGCATGTGTCTACCGAAACTTTCAAAATTGAAATTTCATTTGTTCCTTCCTTCACTCCATCAGAAAATGGCACCAGAGAACCTACTCTATGCCAGCCAAGATACTGAGATTAAAAAGCCAAGATGATCTCCTTTCCCCAGGAGAACAATTACAAAGGGGTCAGGGGAAATTTCACAGGGGAGCCGGTCTCCAATTCAGAGCTCACCACTTCCCTCAGGAATAACGGAAGGAGCTACGCACTGTGAGGCAAGGGACGGACTGTGCAGCAGGACTGACGCCCAAAGGAACAAGGGCTGTGTCTGGGGAGCAGGGTGAGCGGGAACAGGGACGCAAGATGTGGAAGGATGGGAGAAGGAGGCCGGGCACATGAGATGAAGTTTGATGATCCTAACTTGAGGGGAAGACTCTTAGGTGGCTCTTAGAAACTATCTGGGCACAATATGGAGGACGGGACAGACTCAGACTGGAAGCAAAGAGTCAAAGAAAACCACAAACCCAGAAGGAAACAGGAATGGGGAAGCTGTTAGGGTCTTGAAAGTAAGAGTGTGAGGTAAGTAGAAGAGATGTGGAGTAGCTCTGTGGTAGAAGCCAGTGGCTTTCTCTGTATGGCACTAAGGCAAATAATTCACAATTCCCAACTACTCATATTTGGGGGGTTGATCTGTTTAAAATACAGACGTCATTAAATTTCAGAAGCAGAAAGCATGTTAGGTGAGCTACACAAACTTCACATAAGGACGTCTTTTTTACATAAGACAATTTTATTGATTTGATCACAGGAGCTCTCTGGTTTTTAGCCAGGAGTATGTTTTTCTACTGGCTATTTCAAATCAGTTTAATATTATAAATCTGAATTATGAAAATAATGTATCATAATTGTTAGACGTTAAATAATAAAGAAAATGAAGAAAAAGGAACATTTTCTCCAGTTTTCCCTCTTCAAACCCTATTTCCACCTTCCTTAAAACAAGCACAGTTATCACTTCGGGGAGATCATTCTCTTTTCTCTACACTCCACCAACACTGTGGTGACCAATTGACTTTTTTCTTCCTTTTTTTTTTTTTTTAAAATCAAATGGGCTCATCTAATACTGTAAAGGGTTTTGTTCACATAATCTTTCAGGCCAACCAGACTTAGAGAAATCTTTGTAATCGCCAAGCAACATTTCATGATGTGTATGAATGTAATTGATTTATTAGCCCATTTACTATGTTCACCTCATTTTTCAAAGTTTCCCATCCTACTGCACAAACAACATCACAATAAATGTCACATCCACTCTTGGGCATGGATGTTTGCATTTTTGAAAGATAAAGCTCCCAGAATGAGGACTGTTGGCCACGAAAACTGAAAATGTTAAAAGTCTGAGGCCCTTCCAAAAAGGCTGTGGGAAAGTATCCATTTCCTCACATCATCACCGGAACTGGGTGTGAGCAGTCATTTCAGCTTTTTACCCATCTAATTAAAGAAAATGGTCATCATCATTGCTGAGCTTTTATCACCTTCTGACAACATTTACTGGCCATTTGCATTTCCTTTTCTGAGAACTATCCATCCACTCCTTAGCCTAATTTTCTACTGAATTAAAAAATCAATGCTTAGGATTTCCAAATTGGCAGTAACAACCCTTGGTCATATGTACTGAAATATTTATTTCCAAAAATATTTTGTCTTATAATTTTGCATATGTTTCTTTTTACCACCCAGAAGTATTTTTTTGTTTTTTTTTTTAAAAATGATAAATCTATCCACTTACTACCTTCAAGGCATCTAACTTTTCTGATTTCTTAAAGAAGGTTGCTCTAATTTGAGGACTGTACATAGCCAAAAGTTTCTTCTAGTAAATTTATTGTATTATTTCTAAATGCAGATTTTTTTTATCTTTTTGTTGTTGTTGGTATGTAAAACTGGACTCAAATTTTTTCTTCCAAATGAACAACAAACACTATTAGTAGCATTATTAAATAAAAGCTCTTGTTCACCTCTGCACTGAAATGCCCACATTACCATATTAAGCTCCCAAACCCATTTGAATTATCTTTTGGAGTCCCCTTGAATCTGCACAGTGATGTGATTGCTTAACCCTGTGTCAATCCTTTATTCTTTTCATTACAATAGCGTTACAGAAGATTCCATTATTTGCTAAGTCTTCCCTAAATATTCAATTTTTTCTTACAATTCTCAGCTGTAAATTATTCAACTCCAACTTTACAGTCACTTTATCTAGATAGCCCCAAACCTTCTTGGGATTCAGATTAGAATGAACATAGATCTATATGTCAATTTTGGTGAGACAAATCTTTCAACATTAAGCATAAAATTAACTGTTGGCATTTCATTGATCTCTTGTTATCAGTCAATGAAATTTTCTCCCATTCCTGGTATGCTGAATTAAAAAAAAAAAATTAGGAATGGCTGTTGGGTTTATTTCCTTTGGAGTAAACAGAAATAGAATGTAGAGCTCATCTCAGGGACTGAAACCCAACTTCAAATCATTTCAGTCTGTGACGATGGATTAGTACTCTCTAGCACCTGCTAACTGCTAGAAGATCATTATATCAGCAAAGATCCGTCCAGGAGACAGAGACCACACTGGTAATGTGAAATCTGTAAGTGTTAACCTGTAAAAAGGCTGTGAACTACTAAAGAGTGTGCAGAAGTAAGAAGACCAGAAAGAAGCTATCTCTCAAGAATGTAACGAGAGTGAGAAAGAAAGCTACTCAAAGTCATAAACCTCTGGGGTAATCTTTTGGGGTCCATTAGTCTCGGGTCTGGGAGGGGTTAGAGAACTGAGCATGACGATGATTTCTATGCATTTGCCCAACAGGACGACCACATTTAAGGAAATGGTTAGAGAAATGGAGTCATCTGGTAAATGGAACGTTGGCCAATGTCTTATTTTCTGTAACAACTCGGCAAGGGCATGGCACCCAGATACTTGGTTAAATACTAGTCCAGATGCCTTGAGTAGAGCGGATCACCCTCTGCCACTCAAGTGGGCCTCATCCCCTCAATCCAAGGCCTGAAGAACAAACGCCAAAGTTCTCTGCAGAAGACAGAACTCAGTCTCTGGGCTGCCTTTAGACTAAGCTGAAACATAAGCATGGCTTGCCCTGCACGTTTCAGTCTTTCCAGCTATGGTGTGAGCTGAATCCTGAAAAATACACGTGAGAAAGTAGTATCTGTTTCCAAACTTTACAGCCACAGTGTAGCATGTGAACCCTGAACAAAACTGTCAAACAATGAAAATGTACTATGAAAAGTAAGCCACTCAAGAATATTCACTGCGTACTCTTACTTAGCAGCTGCTGCTTTGGAACCCAGCTGTGGGCGCACTGTACGCGGACAATGCCCCAAGAGTCCAACAACACGGAATACTGAAGAAAGCTTGAGAAAACTGAAAGCTAGATTCCTCCTAGTGCTTTCACTGTGTCCGAAAATTAAAGACAGATGTCTGATTTAACAGATGAAAAGCCCCTCGTTAAGAAGGAAATGTGTCCTCACTTTATATAAAGCTGTATTTCCCTTTGGTAATTCTTTTAACAAGAGTTCTCACTCTTCACCACTGGATACAAGAAGCTAATTAATTTTCAGATCCATTTATTAAATGCTTTCTGTGCTTCACACTGGAGAGCGAGCTACAGCTAGGTAGAAAGGCCGCAAGGGAAGCATTCGCAGTTTTTACACATCAGCTGTTCCGCAGCCAGCATTGTGTGAGTTGCACCAGAGCCGATGCCCTGTCTCTGCTCCCCAGGAGTCAGCAGAAGAGCTCACAGTCACCTTAGACAAAGACGGGGAGAGAGTGTAACCGACACACGGGCTGAGGGAACAGACAAGGGAGAAGACTGTAATGCTACACACCTAGCTGTCCGACGTTGGACAATTAATCTTCTGAGCTTCCATCTCTTTATTTGTAAAATGAGGGTAACAACAGAAGAGTTGCTGGGAGGATTTTTACGCTATAATGCAGATAAATCAATGAGCACACTGTCTGCTTCAGAGTAAGTGCTGACCAAAGTGTAGGGCCACACTTTCTTTTTATTATTGTTTATCATTACAAGTTAGATTAAAGTGATGAGAGTCCAGGGAATGAGAATAATATGAACAGTGAATGCATGATGTGAAATTAAATCTGAGCATCCCATTAAAAGTTCCCAAGGGGGAGGAAGCTGGAAATGTACCTGGCTTGAAAAATGAGTGTGACTCACCTAAAAAAAGTAATAAAGTGACTCGTAGGTAAGAAGGAATATCCATGAGATGCTTCGGTTCACAGAGCAACGAAGTATTAGTTCGCAATGATTAAACCTTGGCACTTTTGATTTATAATGCAATAGTTTTTTTTCAGATTAAGTGCCTAGATGGTTACCCGAAAAAGATTTGGATAGCGAGCCCCCAAATGAGTTGTTAAAATTATAAATGTTAGTGCCTTTGGTTTAGTAATTCCGACAATTTATAACAATTATTACACAATTTCCTTGTGTAACAATATTTTCAGAGCTGCCATTCAACTTCCAGCCCAAAACAAGCTATAGCGTTCTCATTTTG